CTTGTGCGCCGCATCGTGTTGAAACTTCCAAGGAGCCGTTCCCTCTCGTTTGTGTTTGTGTGGTTGTCCTGCTTTGACCGTGTCGACAAATATCACGGATTACCTCTTTCAAGTCCGCTATTGTTATGGTAAGTGCACTGCAACCTACGTGTTGGCAACGATTGACCGTTATTCTACGCGTACTCTTCTAAAAGAATTATGCAGCGCCAATCACGCGGCAGCCAGGAGAATAATTTCCCCGAAAGTGTACCTGTATAGTCTTCACAGATCGCTTGCACGTTTGTACTTGTCTACAGAAGAGGTAATAAACTTCGAGGAGAATTGAAAACAATCTTTTGTGTCGGTTTTCCTGTCCACTTACAAGCACCTACGCGAGTGCATTTGTTCTACGTGTTTTCTCCATGTTATGAATACGTTTATGAGTTTCGGGACGTCTTAAATATGTTTAATATAACCAACCTCCCAGACGATACCCATTTAGGGCTAGCGCATAATTTGCCATTTCGAAGGGCACGTTCAAACTTGTGGTCACGTGCCATGTCGAACGGGTACTCGTACCATACGGCACCCGTATCAAACGGGTACCGTTTCGAATGGGTACCGTTTCCAAACGGGTACCCGTATCCCATAATCACGTTTGATCCAAACGGATCGACAGGTTTGATTCAAACGGGCGACCAGTTTGCCACCCGTTTGAATTTCAAATGGTTTTTTTCAGTAGGCCTCCCTCCTCCTCCTCAAGACCTGCGCTCTAATTTCGCGTTACAGACATTTGTAAACTTCCTTCATTTTAAACCGCGACCATTATAATGCTAACATACCTGAAGAGTCCTCTAAGTACAAAATGTGTAGGTCTGGCAATCCGCTACCACTATACGATCTTTAAAAGAAAGGGCAACCGGTGATACGCACCTAGTACGCAGGAGCGGGAGAAGCAGAAGCAGGTGATGTTAGAAAGCGCCCAGAGCGGAGTGGGGCAGAAATGGCACAGAAGAGAGGAACAGAAACATGTGGTGCGGAAAAAGCTCGCGGAGTTAGGGGAGAGCAGGAAAGCACACGACGCGTTTCTGGTGTACGTTGCATAGACTTTCTAGTGTACTTATCGGCAGTCTTGGGTAAGTTACTTTTAAAAAGTAATTCGTTACAGTTACAGTTACTTTCAGAAAAAAGTAGCGAAGTTACCGTTACAGTTACCGCAACAAAAGAGTAACTCGTTACAGTTACAGTTACTTTTAAAAAGTAACGACGTTACTTTTCAGTTACTTTTCTATAACACAAAAAGAAATTAGAAAAAACTAGAAAACGCCCCTCACAACGTTTTATTGCGTAAAATTAAAAAGTACGCTTTTTACTTCATATTGTAACTTAGCAGCAGTTGCTTCTCGAAGTTAGTGTTTGAAAGTTTCCACGCCGAGTAGTGGCGCAAATCAAAATACGATACATGCGCAGTGCGGAGTAGTGGCGCTAATAAAATACGAGATATGCGCAGTGCCCTCCACGTGTATTGTTGTTTCACGGTTGATTAACCGGAATAAAAAGCGTTTACACAGAAGAAAGAAAAACCACAACATAGATAGTGCTTCAAGACACTAAAATGTAAGTGTTCAGTCACAAACTACAAGCGCGTGCGTAAAGATAACTGGATATTTTTTTCATGAAATCTACACGTGGCTATATTCCGGTCGTCACTCGCGAGAAAGAACGTATTCACAATTTTGTGCAAGGCCAACTTGACACTCGAAATGTTGGAATAGACGATTTGGAAAGTGCAAGGAATGGCTAAATGGCACTCGTTCACTGATATATTATTCGTAAAACACTGGAAAGTAACGACAAAAGTAACGTCGTTACTTTCATCGTTACCTCAGAAAAAAGTAATAGAACTACAGTTACAAGTTACATTTCTAAAAAGTAACTCGTTACAGTTACAAGTTACCAAGAAAGTAACTCAGTTACAGTAACGCGTTACTAGTAACACGTTACTACCCAAGACTGCTTATCGGTATATAAACCGTTGTCCCTGTATATCGTCCAAATCAGAGGACAGTGGCACCAGCGTCAAGAAAAACAAAGAAAGGGACAACTTCGACAGCCAAAGCAGTGCCATTAACGATCGCCACAGTCTATTTGCCTGGGGTGAAATCACGTAACACCACAGAAGCAATCCTAAGGTTGAAATCCTTGTGAATCATTAAACCTATTTCAATATAATTTTACATAGTTTGAAAAGAGTTTTCGTCAACGATTGCCCTATAAATCTACCGCATTTAGCGTGTTTTGCAAAATGACCAGGCAGGCAGCCAATTTTTTTTTTTTCAACCGCCATATGTTTAGAGATATTTGAAATTCTTCATTAAAACCTCCGGTAAATGACCGCAAGCTTTCGTGAAGGTTGCTTAACCTCCGTGTTTTAATGTACAAGTACGGTAATAGTAAATTTACAGACCTTAACACTGTTGTTAATACGAAACGTTATCGAGAAATAAAAAAAATAGTTGGGAAATAACAAACTTTTAATTCTTCAGAGAACTATGGGCCTCACGTGACCACAATGCTCGGGAGTAGTATTATGTATCCTTGATACGTTTTTTGTTTTCTCAAATTAGTCCGCCGGACCCAATTGAAGACGAATATGTCTGGATTAAAAGTGAAAGCTACGCATTATTCTCTTTCAGAATAGTATTAATTAATATCATAGTATTTCCGTGTATAGTTCTTCCGGGGTATAGTACGGCTTCTGCATTTCGGTTTAAATTATATTTTAACAGCGTCTTGCTGAGAACTTCCGACAGAGGGAGCAAGGGGTGAATGCCCGACATCTTTGGGGATGAGCACTACACAAAAGCGCGGCCACAAATTAGACACGTGTTGTACTTTACAATTTGGGCCCACCAGAGGCCAATGTTCAATCAATGATTGGGTGAACGCACATCACCCAATCGTGATGTAGGTGCCGCCGAAATGAGAGGCCGTTTCACAAAGAAGAAAGGGGTGGCCGAGTATGTTAACAGACCTGAGCTCGGAGAGCGTGGGCTGAAAGCTCGCTCTGCGGAATTCAGGGATCATGGGCTCCATCCCCCTTCCCATTTTTCCCTTGATCAGCATCGTACCGTTTGTGCACTATGCATCACTGCTTCGTAATTCCCGTTAATGGTGTCATGAAACGACTTCGGGTTACACTGTTCATGACTTTACAGAGGAGTACTGGTTTTGGCCCAAGTATACACTCGCACGGACCACCACTAATTCAGAAGCTTCTTGGTCGCGCTGAAATTGCGAGGATAGAAGGGGACTCTTTCTTTTAGTTTCGCTTTTGGAAGGCTTGATTACGTAATTGTGGGATATAAACCCCCCGACTTACGACAATCGAGCACGGCTCGTGGACTGGGCACGAGAACTGCGTGGACACTCAACTTCGGCTCGTAACAATCAATGCATCGGCGGGCACTCAGTAGCTAGTGGCTCGTGTCCAACCACTGCGTTGATGAGAACAGCCGAGCTCTAACAATGCCTTTAGCTTAGCACGCGTTTTCTTTTTTTTTTTTTACTTTGCCGACCCCAGCGTCTGGCTATAATTAACGTTGCCAGCATAGTATTGGCTCCATGCCACGTCGCCGCTTGTTCTGGCTACGAGTTGAGGGGATGAAAGATGTTCATATTTCTCGAATTTATTTGCCGACTTTCATGGCTCAGAAAGAAAACCTGTGGCTCTTTTATTCGGTTACTAACGTTGGGGAGTGACTCTGAGTGGTATTTAGCGAACGTATCAAAAATCCGTTTAATCCCCCTCAAAGACTCAAGGCTAGCGGCTCTATTGCAATGGATAAATGTATAATCTGGAACGAGGAGACGTCGCCCGTTGAGGCCAATTAACTTTCGGCTGTCTAAGTATACATGCAATACAGTTACAATTAATATAAGGGCTTAAAGGTGCTCTGAATAACCTAGCTAGTGTTGCACACAGCATAGTAACTAGCATAGTGAGATTAATGCGCGCCTCTTTATTTTTTTTAAACGAGTGGCGTCCGCCATGTTTTTTTTTTTCCTACGATAATGATCATTTTAACACTCAAATGCTTGGCACCGGCGCTACGCTGCTGCGGTGGTGCTACTGTCAGCACGATGCATGCGCTGATCATTCACCTTACGCGAATCTGGTTTATGCGCACGCGCTTCCCGCACGTTGCGTGGACAAAAGCCAAATATTGTGTTAGCAGCACGTTGACTTATAGAGCCTGTTACTCTTTACAAACGTGAACCGCTTCTTGCGTTCCACACAACTTGAGGTCGCCCCGCCTTTTCTAACGACCTAGCGAAACAATTCGACTAGGATTCAGGTGTCCCGACTTCCTTTTAACGGCGCCCACGAGTCCCTGAGACAGCACCCCATCGCCCATTTCCACGGCTTTCAGCGCTTCGCCAGCGGGACAAGTAACCCTGGCAGGCAGCCGCACGAAAGGGGTGCGGCGAAGGTCGGATGGGCACTTCCATCTTTAGATTAGTTGTCGCCGGCGCCATTGGGTGGCCTAGAGCGGATTCTGCGAAATTCTCCCACTTTCCGCAAAACCCGCTGATGCATCGCTGCTTATAACGCATGAATGTGAGCTAGTGGTGGGAATGAGGTTTCTTGCACGTAATAGCTGCCTAGATATTTGAACCTTATTCAAGAGGCCCCAAAAATTATTACAGCCCAGGCTCTCCAATCTTCACAAATCAATCTTGGTCTATATGTGTTTTGGCAATGTTCGCATCAGGTACGCTTTTTACTCCAATCACTGACATGCTAAGGTACGCGCTGCGCAACTCATGATTCTTGTTTCGTAATTGGTTCTTTGGCGGTATTATTGACTGAGGTAGAAAATTCATTGTCGGCGAGCGATAATAAGGGGTCTTGCTTCGCCTTGTGCCTCTTAAGTTCTCAGTGACACTATTTTGATGCCAGTTTAGTGTGAATTTAAACAGTTCGCAGTGCGCGTTCCAAACAACTTTTTAGTACGTACGGCTTATTTTGAGCTGTCCACGCAGGTAGGTGTCCCAGTAAATGTTTTCACCATACCTCATGCTCCCAGTTTGAGGCCTGTGTTGAATGAGGTCGTTATTGGCAATGTGATGGGCCCACTCTTTTGCCATGGCGCCTAACTGGTTAGGAAAAAGAAGTAATAGTTTTCTTTTAGTCATAGTCATTACGAGGATTTATTCTCTAATCCTATTTTCTGTATAGAAAACAACAATGTGAAACTTAATTTATATGAATACTTGAGAAACCTAAAAAGCGTCGGTATAGCAACTAATCTGTGCTAGAGTTTATTTGAAACTAAACAAGGAAACAGGACATTCGCGTCATATGTTTTGCTGAATTACAATACGTAGCTAGTTTATGCGAAACGTACCACACCTTGCCGTGTCATCCGGCTGCTAAATATTTATTTTCCAGGAGAGGGTAGTTGCTGTGCAGTATGTATAGCGGGCTTTTCAGCTTGTCCCAGCTCACATGCGCGAGACCCCCTAAAAATATACTGAAAACTTTGCACGACGCTTGCTAAGAACACACAGTCCTAACTCGCGTAGAGCTGTTTACTTTTTTGTTAAAACTTGGTGCATGTGAATTGCGACACCCTGTATACCAAATACGACTGTGCAGCAATGCAGGTTGTCCAGGCTCCTGTTTCCTTAATGAGGGGTTACAATTCAGCTCTTTGTTCTTATACCGCGTTTGACTCTAAAGGCACGCTTACACTTCCGACTCGCGACAGTCGCGAGACCGACAAGTAACATGTGACAAGCCATCACCGAGGTTCACACCGTGGTCGATTGTGAGCCGCTTCTCGGGAGTAATCGGGAGCCACAGTCGATTTCGTCCTTCCTTCTGGAGCTCGTGTTTGCGTTTCGCTGTTTTGCTTCTTTTGTTTTCACGTCTGCCGTTTTTATCACAACAAAAAGGCTTTTGATAGTGGCCTGCATCTTTCGGAATCGTAAAATGAAATCTCAAACGGTACAGTGGCGTGCACTAACTCGACCTTCAACAGTAAAGTACGTTGCGCATGTCAAACCAAGAGCCACGGATTTGCTGCCAGGCCATGTCCTATTTTGGGCGCTCATTCCAATAATAATGCTGCTTGCTATAAAAAAAAGCGACATTTTTTAGTAGCTTTGATGATACCCACAGCAGAGACCTCCATGGGTCTGTATCAATGGCCGCTACCGGCAAATCGCTTCTCGGAAGCTCTCAGGAGATGCCGTTGGTTCTGTCTTTTACGTAACAACTGAGTTTCGTGTTTCCCCGCTTTTCCTTTCTCGTTTTCTCACACCTACACAGGCGTGGTTGTTGCCGAAAATAAACCACTGGCTACGTTCGGCTGGGTCCGTCGGAACCGTACAATGAAGCGCAATCGCTACGTCGACATGCACCCGTTCGAGCTACCGCGGCGCAGTACGCACCTGTCAAGTCATACGTGGCCCAAATTTTCCGTCAGGCCCGGTTTATTTTTTTGGGCGCGCGTTCAAATCGAGGTGCTGTTTTTATAAAGACATTGTTTACTCGGTAACAGCGTGGATTCAAGTCGCCACAAGGACCTCCATGGCTCTCTATCCGAGACTGTTACCTCGAAGCGATGCTGCCTATTCGTCAACGGACATGTCTGTTGCTTCTCCCCAGAAATCCGTACCGGAGGTAAACCGATGAGGGGCGCACCGCACGCCACCTCCGAGGCGACTCGGTGACCGGTTGCAGAAGTCGGTTTTAAAGCGATTGCCCCGAAACGGTCGTCGCCTTTCCGGCAAACACTCGCGCGCAACAGTTGCGATTCGCAAGTGTGAACGCGCCTTGAATCCGACCGCAGACGACGCTACAATTCGATGGATCCATGCAGGCAGCGTCAAAAGTGCGTCGTCACGGCGCTCGTCGTATCTGTGCGTACAACTTCGCCCGCTAGACCAATCACGTAAAGCGAATGATGCACGCTCGTGTGCTTTTGTCCGAACGGGATTTGGTTTAGCCGGCGATAGACAACGCGTAAAGACGACAAGCGCCGCGACAATGCATATTTGAAGCCGCTTGATTGTCTCTATCGAACCGTAGTGTCGGTTGTGGTTAGACTTGTTGTGAAACGGGGGGGCTTGTTCGAGGTCCGAATGTTCTACGCGTCGAACATTCTACGCCGACTATTCCAGAGGCTTCGCATAGTGAGCCAGAATCAGTCTCGCCTTAGCGTTCGACTCCGCTGTTACGCCGATTTCGACGCCCGCGACGCTCTGTTATTATCTTTTGTACCCTTTTATTTTTGGCACAAGCTCGCCACCATTAAACGTTTATTTCTCCTGATTATTTATTGTTTTTGGTCACCACCCGTGACAGTATCATCAGCCCCCTCCATATTCCAGAGGACCATGAAACAAGTAACTCACCTCCTGGAATGTTGGGCATGCTACCCGGTTAATAAAATTGTCACCGGGAAAACGGACGAGCAACACAATAAGAACTTGGAGATCGTTCTTCTACGGTTCACGGAGTATGGATTCACGCTGAAGGAAGAAAAGTGTGAGTTCATGTGACCCAAAGTGGATTACTTGAGTCAGATATTGTCAGCTGAAGAATACGCCTAGCTCGAAAGAAAGTTGGAGCAATATTGAACATACCGAAGCAAACTGACATTCATGATCTACGACCGTTCCTGAGCTTGGTACAATATTGTCACGAATGACAAGTGATGAGGCTATAATAACTGGAGAAACTAAACGTTTAATGGGGCGAAATTGTGCCCGAAAATAAAAAGGAAACAGAATAAAGCAGAGCGTCGTGGGTGTCGAAGTCGGCGTAACAGCAGAATCGAACGCTGGGGCGAAACTGACTCCGCTCGCCATGCGGAGTCCCTTACGTACCCTCGTGGATTTCTGGATCATTCAACGTAGAACGTTCGGTGCGTAAAACGTTCGGAACTCGGTCAGACGAGAATGTTCTCGAACCTGTGAGAAGGCCAAGTTGAAAAAATAAATAAAATACAGTCGCCTGACTGGAATCGAACCTACACCTTCCACGCGAGAGTCAAGCGCGGGGACCACTCGGCCACTCGCGCGCTTGCTCGCCAACGCGCGTGGCAATATTACGTAAAGTACTTGCCCGGATTGACATAAATTTGCGCACCACTGAACACACTCCTCAAAAAGGGTGTTACTTTTCACTGGAGCTCGGCTTGCGCAGAATCATATGAGAACATAAATGCTCGTCCACTTGAGTATTCGACCTAAAATGTTCCGGAAAGATGTAGAATGATACTGACTAGGCTGGGTAATTTGACCTAATAATGGTTTACGCTTGGGGTCAGAGTGTACGCCGATCCTTCAGATGAAGAGAGGATGTTATCTTCTCAATCATACAAGCTGCATAACTCCCCCCTTTAAGCACGCATCGCCCCGATGCATCACAAAACAAATACAAAATAACGGTAAGCTAATCACGTCCTCTGCAAAACGAAAAGTCCTCAGTTCTACCGAGCGTACAAAGGCTTGAGTCTAACGACATGACCACCTCGGGGTGTGGTCGGAGTAGTGATGATGTTTTCACTCCGTTGGGCACCACTTGGTAGTTGAGCTTCCCGAGACGACGAAGTACCTTATACGTTCCGAAGCACCGTTTCAGCAGATATTTCCTGAGGCCGTGGCGACGAATGGGTGCCCACACCCACACCCTGTCTCCGGGCTGGAAGCGAACGTCCCGACGACGAAGGTTGTACCAGCCAGCCTCGATACGCTGCTGGTCTTCAATCCGAAGTCGGGCGAGCCGGCGAACTTCTTCGGCCCGTTGAGCAACCACCTGGGCGTCGTCGCTCTAATCTTCAGCTGGCTCGTGGGTCAACTCCGCGTCCAGGGTGGTCGCTACTTTCGGACCATGTACCACCCTGAAGGTTGAAACTTCAGTGGTCTCTTGAACTACCTTGTTGTAAGCAAACGTGACATAGTGTAAGACCTCGTCACACGTCTTGTTCTCCACGTCGACGTACATGGTAGTCGTGACGGCGATGTTCTGGTTTGGCTGTTCCGTCAGCCCCTTTGTCTGCGGATTGTGCGCCGTCGTTTGACGATGAACTGTATGGCTGAGCCGGAGGATCTCCTTAGTTAGCTGTGCCAGAAACGACGACCATCGGTCTGTAATCAATACTTCGGAGTCATGGTGACTGAGGACGATGACCTCAACGAAGAACTTGGCTACTTCATTTAATTTAATTTTTTTATTCTTAAAGGGGTACTCCGCCGATTTCTTCATGGTCCCCGATTTGCTTGAAATTTTGCTAAACTCGCCAAAAAACATCGCCAAAATAGTATCCCAAATATTGGGTCAAAATAATTTTTTTTCACGAAGTTATTGAATTTACAATTTTGGTCCTCACCGTGTTTTTCAAACTGAAAGTCTCTACTGGCAAGAGCGAAAAAGTGACGTCAGTGGAAGTGCAGGGGTTCACTCTTTGGACTGTAGAATTTGTTCCCAACTGATTCGAAGCAGTTTCATGGTGTCAAATGAATGCTTTGGAAGCTCGCTCCAGTACCCGCGCTTCAGCACGGAACAAATCATTGGCATATTCTATTTTTTAGACTGCTCGCCCGACTGGCAAGCTGACCTTCCACTGACGTCACGGCACTAAAAAGGGCGGGTATATTTGAATGGTGGTTTTTGCATCATTTTCGTTTGCCGATTTCGCAATAACTATTAGGAATTTCACGATACTAAATAGCATACCGGAAAGAATAAAGGCCGGGGAGTCAGAAAATATAGTTAGTTGAGGTAGCTCAAAAATCGGCGGGGTATCCCTTTAAGGGCCCGGGTGGGGCATTACGTAGAGGGCGAGTAGACGAAAACTCGAATACATTCTGACAATAGAAAACGACAAAAATAGAAAAAGGAGAGAGTCAAAATAACAATAGTAAAACAATCAAACGACTGATATGGTTTAGATGAGCATGATTCGTGGATATGTGAGATTTCCTGGCGAAACTTTATTAAGCGCTCCTGTCGGGAACCCCAGCGGTTCCCGACAGGAGCGCTGTTGTCTCGGTGTACGTATTCAGCTAATAGGTCGCGACAATGATCCACGGGTTTCCTTGTGTCGATGGTGGGAACGACCGAAACGAGTCTATTTCAATCTATT